TTTATATTTTAAATGTTAAAATAATGATATTTTTTATATGATGAAAAACTTGGGTGGTATAAATATAAAAATATAAGTTTTTTTTTTTAATATCTAAAGCTTTTACATCAAAAAATTTCATACTTATCTATCTTACATCAAAATTTTTATAATTACAAACCTTTTCATACATAGGCCCAAAAAATTTCATATTTATCTATCTTACATCAAAATTTTTATAATTACAAACATCATATGATAAGTAGCACTCCTGATCATATTTTAATGATCAAATCCGTCGTTTCATCAATAGGTAAAGTAATATGTGTGCAAAAATTAAATTTTGGGTGAAATACGTAAATCCATAAAAATTGGGTGCTATGTATGTAATTTTCCCTAAAATAAAATAAAACAAACTACTTTTGGTTAGATGATAGTTACTTGATTCATCAAAATATTATGTTTTGATGGAAAAAAAAATTCAATATTTTACTCTCAAAAGCCATTTTCTAACTATTTGTATTAAATTTTAGGAGCATTTACATACATACTACGCAATTATTTTGTGTATGTCAAATATCTAAATTTGCATTTTTACTTTTGTATGTTGTTGTTGCGAGATCTAGATATACACCAGTTGGTTGATGTGGTATAGATATAAATCAAACAGGAGAACGATCGACGAAGCGAAAAATAGAATGAGAAAAATCACACCAGAAAAAAACACCAGAAAAAAATCACACCAGAAAAAAACACAACGGAATACACAGATTTTTGTGGTTCCGCAAATTACCTACGTCCACGGAGTTGCAGGAGATTTTACTACTTGAGGAATTTATACCAAATGATCACCTCGACTTACGAGAGGAATTTCTCACTCTTCGTTGCTCTCTCTCTTCCTCTCTCTGCTCTGCTCTCTCTATACTGAGATACACCGAAGAAAACTCTACCCAAGATACACCGAAGAAGACAGACTTGCAAGAGAAATAAACACAATTGCTCTGCTCTCTCTATACCGAGATACACTGAAGAAGACAGACTTGCAAGAGAAATAAACACAATTTCTCTTCTGTCACAAGCCACCAAGAAGAAGCCTAGGGAGAACAATCTTCTTCCTTCTTCTTCTTTCTTTTGCTGCAAGGAACTGCTTCTCCTTGCACTTCTCTTTCTCTGCCCCGAGGAAACCTTCCTCTATCCTGAGGAAACAGAAGAACTCAAAGCGTGACTTCTGAACCCAAGGAGAGTCATCCAAAGGTTTTATCACTAACAAGAGGGAGCGAAGAAATGCTTCACTTCACAAAAAGGGAAGGCTGGACTGGTTGGCGCCTACGGTTCACGAAACGGCAGAGTCGCGTCCTTTCGCACGAGAGAGGGAACAGCTCCGCTATCAAGGGGGAGCGAGAACGCGATCTTTCGCGATAGGGCGCGGGAGCGGGAAGCGGAAGGCGGGAGGCGGGTAATCTGACTCCAACGCTAACATTATACCACCCAAATATTTCATATGGGCTCGTTCGTTAAGTTAACGAGCCGAATATGAACAACACAAACAAATATTTGTTCGTGCATGTTCGGCTCGTTTTGGCTCGAAATACTACTAATCAATTATATATATATATATATATTAAGATTTATAATCAATTAAAAGTATTAATGAAGAAAATAGAATAAAAATTATTAAATTAGATTCAAATGATGTTTTAAATCTTGGCTCAATCCTTAATATCTTATTGCTACGTGATTAGGGTTGTCAAAATGACTCTTTGTTCGTGAACGACCCGTGTTCGGCTCCCTAAGCAAACAAGTCGAACACGTTCACAATTTTTGAGCTCGAAATATAAACGAGCCGAACACGAGCTGGGCCTGGTCTCGCTCGTCGTGTACGGCTCGTTTACACCCCTAGTTGTATATTGTTTTACTTTTGCAGACTCTAGTATTGAAATTAAAAAAAAAATTTCTAATTATTTATATTTGTTCCAAGAATTTATAATCCAAGTTTTTCGATAATACCAAATAAATCGGGCTACTTGATGAACCGAGTAAGAGAGATAAAGTTTGATTCTTTCTTCTCAGGCGAGGGAGCTTCGAGTACAGAACTTTTCGATACGAAAGAAAATGTCCAACCATCGAGTCATCATCTCGAAAAAATAAGACCTATAAACTAAGAATAAGATAAAATAGTGACCAAAAAAACTGCAGGTGAGGCAATTAGGAATACACCCTCTATGATAGTAGTTTGATGCCATTGTAATAACCGGTGATATGATTTTCAAAGTAGTTGACGTTCTTAGGACAAGGAATGGTTTCAATAGAGACTAGTTGACAATAACTTATTTGAAATTATGAGGAATAGATGGGCTATTATGAATAAGACGTTGGAGTTTTTTGAAAAACAGTTTCATGTGAAAAATAGTCTGGTGTTCAAAAAGTTGTGGGGGCAATTATAACTTTTTTTTTTGTTTTGAAAAAGTCAGACTGTAGCTAGAAACATGTCACCACCCTAACCAGGACCAAGGAGAAATTGCAAATTTCAGAGCTTGTTTTTTTGAAAAAACTGTCAAAATACAATTTACTTGCACCGCCGCCCCAAACAAAACAGTAAATCTGTTTGTTATGCTATATAGACAACCCCCATTAACACTCATCTTTTGCCCTCTCTAAGAACTATGTAAATTAATCTTTGAAATTGAAAATATTTTTATTATATTTTTTTTTCTTTCCAAGTCTTATGAATAAATTCGAGAAAATATTACATTTTATATATTGTAAGTTCAGACGTTTAATCACAGAATGTCGCATTGATGCAAAATCACGTGTATGATGATCTGGCCTCCTTAATTTAAAATCTTAAACCTAATATTTTCTCCCCAAATAAGTGACCAAAAAATAATGAAAATAAACGAAACAACATAAATAATTCTCTCTTTATTTTTAAAAAATATCTACTCCTATTTACAAAAAAAAAAAAATTCAGGCCAAAATATAAAAAAGAAAAATCCGATCGTTAAATTTATATAAAATAAACACAATTTAATTTTTTTATTAACTTTATACATTTTATCCACCTTATAATAACTTTAACGATTTTCCAAGCCATCTTTTATGATTTTAAATTTTAGAAGGGCATAATATGCGTCGTCTTGGTCTGGTATCCCGCGAGGCAACTTTTGGTATTCACGCTGAAAATTTTCAACAGATCGCCGGACATTTGCCGCACCGCCGGCGAGCAATTACTCTGCATCAAAACTAAAATCTTCATCGCGCCGCCGTTCTCAGCCGCCACCGCTTCCACCGCCCTCCTGTCCCTGAATCTATGACAGACGCTCCACAACACCGCCACAGCCGCCTCCATGCCTTCCCTACCCACCTTCATCATCCTCAATAGCACCGCACCCAGACACTCCTCCGCCGCCTCGCAGATAGCCGATCGACCCTCCGCAATCCCCGACACAGCCTCTAGCAGTATGATAGCCTTCTCCGCCGTGGCCGCCGGAGAAATATGCGCTTCAGCTTTCAGAACTCTCACCAACGCCGGCACGACCCCTTCCTTCACCATCCAAAGCCTCCCCCGTCGAACTCCGATGATGGCCGCCAAGCATTCAATCCCGGAGTCGATCGATGCTCGGTCCATCTTCTCTTGGTTAATCAGCCGAATCAGTTCCGGGATCAGATCCGATATCTCTGCAATGGAAGTCTTAGAATCGGAATCTGATGATGATAGAATTGCACTCAAGATCCTAGCTGCGTCTGCTTTAGAATCCGTCGTTTTGCTCTGTTTCAAAATAGAAAGCAAGGCGGAAACAGATGAGTGTAGATCGGAGAGTAACGAAGATATCGCGATCTTCTTATTGTTCTCTTCGATGCAATCGACGGTGAGGATTGCCGCGAAAACCTTAGCGGCGGCCTCCAGGGTCTCGATATCTCCCGCATTCTGTGTGAAAACAGACGAAACTGCTGCGGAGCAGTCGCCGGAGAAGACGATGGAGTTCTTCTCAAAATCATCGCTTTTGGTGTCGAGGAAAAAGTCGGCAAGGCGGCGGAGAAGTAGAGCTGGGTTGGAGGAGGAGGAGCGGAGGTCGGCAAGGAGATTAAAGGTGAAGTTTTTATGGGTGTTTGGAGCAGAGTTGTTGACGGCGGCGGAGGTCGCGGAGGCGGCGGAGGGGGAAACAGACCAGATTTGAATGAGGTGGCGGAGGGTGAGGTTGGGGATGAGATCTGTGGAAGGGAGAGGTTGATTCGTAGCGGGGCAGGTCTTCCTGCCGGAATCGAGCCACCGCTGGATGGAGGAGCGATCGTAGGTTACGCCGGTACAGAGACTCACCGGCGATGTCATCACGTCGAGGGAGATGGGGCACCGGAAAAAGGTTGGAACTTTGACTTCTAGTTCGAGAGGCCGAAGGCTTTCCATTTTCTTCCCCATCTGATTCGTCTTCCTCTTTTCTCTTCTTCTGTGATCATGGGGAGTTGTCGCGCAGGGGAAGTGGGTTTAAGATGGGGGCGGGAGGTCAAAGATGATGAGTGGAGCCAAAGGGGGAAGGGCTTCGTTCTCTTCGTTGAAATTAATATTTTATGAGATGAAGTCAATTTTCTGTAAAAATTTTCCGTTATTTTCGTTATAGACGATTAAGAAAATAAAAAACAATTATTTATGAGGCCATTTGGATCTGCTTTACTTCTTTTTCTTGTTTAAAATAAATATTTTTTATTCATGCATTAACACCTAAAACTATCAAAATTACATATCTTGCACCTAAATTTCAATATTTACATTCGAAGTAAGCAGTGCCAAGGTGTTAGACGATCTCACCAGAAGCGAAAGCGAGACCAAAGCTGGCGTGGGATCTTTAGCGATTTCAAATACCTCTTTTGGTCAAGCTGAAATTGGTTGCGACGAAGAAAAGCCACCAAAGCTCTTTTTGTTCTTCTCCTTGCGCTCGGCTCTTCTTTTGGTTCAAAGACGACTTGATCCTGGCATACAAAGACCTTCGAAAGTCTCGTTTTCTCCTTCTAGTGTAGGCTGAAGACGTGCATGTCTAGAACAGTTATTTTCTATATTTATATCACTCAAATTTTTTATATGACATCAAAAAAATAAATTATTTTACTCTTTTTTTAAGATAACTTTTCATGCATAGGAAAGGTGGTATGTGTAAAAATTGAAGTTGGGTGAGAGATAGGTAAATAAAGTATTTAAGTGTTAGGTGTGCATTTGCTTTTATTTATTGTTTTTATGCTCTCGCATGATGAGAGCTACCGACTCCGCTAAGTGGACTTTGCTATAAAAGTGGGAAGGTCGGCGGTCATGTTGGAAAAGAGGAGAAAAATACAACCTAATATGTGCATATTTTTAGTTGAACTTTGCAGACATGTCCGTGGTTTGTTGAGGGTTATCTAGAATGTCAATTAGCATTTTGTTGAGGGCCTTTTTAAAAAAATTTTATGTGGTATTCATAGAATTGTAAAGCTCTGGATATACAATTTATGATTGTTGTTGTAAAACCATGTGCATTGTTGAGGGCCTTTAGAAGTGTAATGCATGTTTTCATGCATAAGTTGATCAAAAACTTTAGGTGTTAGATGATATAAATGCATAAGAAATGTTTGGTAGATATGTAAAATTTCCTAAGCTGTTAAGAAAAAGGGTTATAAGTATAGCAGATATATATGACATAGAGCCCTTAATGATGATCACACCAAGTAAGAAGCCTGAAAAAGAGAGAAAAAGAGAGAGGGAGGGGGGAAGTATTTTTGTATATGGTTTCAACAATCTCTATTAAATTCAATCTTCCTCTTTTTATAGGGGTTTATGATTATTGTGAAATAATGATTATATCTTATCCATTTTAATCAGTTAACCCTCAATCAAAACGTTTCATTTTATTCAATGGACATATAACTGGCGGGTCATTTTCTTGATGATCGGCCTCTACCTGAGTAGGCTTTGTGTCGGTTAGCTTCTCGCCAGCGACTCGATAAGTTTCTAGCCAGTCAACTACTGTTGTGTATTTGTCCTCCAAGTATCCTCATTTTCATGAGAATTGTTTGACTACACGTGCTTCGATATGACCAGTTGGATCTAGAAAAGATTTAGTCAATTGCATTTTTATTATGCAGTCGCAAATTGTTATGAGTATCACAAATGTTTGAATAATGGCATGTGATGTTATTAGCCATATCATAGATAGGACAATTATGGATGAGAGATAACATCATCTAAAGCCCTAAAGGAGGTGCAATTATTATGTGTCGCGACTGCTTATCCAGATGACAGTTCGAATTTGTTGCCATGCAATAGATGACAGCGTGGTCGCATTCGGACCGTCATTCGGGCATGTTGACTATTGTCATAACACATTGAATGTTCAACACTAACATTTGTGTAGAAAACACCTTCCTAAAAGACAATTATCATACATGCCAGAAGGAAGATGATCTCCAGACGAACAAAATTATCCAATTCTCCTAAAAGTTCACCAGCACAAGACTTCCACAAACAAGTTTGATAGCCTTTCATCTAGCCAGGACAGGTGATCGAGCCAAACAGCCCGGGTCCAGACCAACCGAGCGGAGTTGTACGACCCGTCTTTTCAAGCATAAGCCCTCAATACAAAATCCAATCGGTAGCGTCTCCGAGACCCCAGTGAATGGCCCCACAGCTCCAAAAAGATCGGGTGGAGGCTGTCATAGGCTCCCAGCCATATCCACCAGTACGCCTCCTTGGGGCCCCGGCTCCATCGAACCGAGGGCCTTACCAGACACCTGACCCTATATTTATATATTGACCCAAAAACTCTCATCGTATCTATGAATTCGAGGTATAAAAAATGTAATTATATACCCCATAACCTTTTAAACAGAGGATTCATTTCTCGATTAAGGGTTATGTGATTTTATTGACCTATATCATGCCTTTGTTCTCTTCCTCTCTATCTCTCCTTTTCCTACTTTATTTTAAAGGTGTAAACGAGCCGATCTCGAGCCAGTTCCGGCTCGGCTCGGCTCGGCCCGTTAAAAAATAGCTCTATTCATGTTCGGTTCATTTACATGTCGAGCTCCAAAAATACGATTGTGTTTGGCTCGTTTCCTTATCGAGCTATTTGCGAATAACAAGTCATTTTGGCATCCCTAGTCACACAATTGCACGCTGTTAAGGATAGGGGCGAGATTTAAATTTAATTATTAATTAATAATTTGAACTGATTATAAATCTTTGTAGTGTTGCACTCAATTAAACTATTTAAAAATAATACTCAAATTCTTGTTTGTGTTCGGCTCTTTTATATATCGAGCACAAAATTGTATCCGTGTTCGACTCATTTGCTTAATGAACGACTCAAACACGAGCTACCTCATGAGCCAAACACGAGTCATTTTGACAGCCCTACTCTATTCCTTATTCATGCCCCCCAGACAATTTTAGGTTCAACGTAGACCACTATCTTTCTCACCCGGCGTGATCGGCGGCCGCCCATATACTATTTGGCACCAAAATGCACAGCCTGGGCCAGCAATCTTAGTAATGATAATCTTAGCAAAGTCAGGACAGGAAGCAATTTAGAAGAAAAGACTGTTTCAAAATGCAAAAGGTGGCAGAGGGTAATTTCTATGTTGCTGGTTTGTAATCTTATGAGCAAAGTATCCAAACGTGTTGATGGTTAGCCGGCCAAGATTTCTTTTTTCTTAATTAAAAAAAAAAATGATTCGTTTGCAGTTTATAGTTACTTTTTAATGAATATTAATGCATGCATGATTAGTCTTATTTTGTTATTATTTACAAAGTTATTTCGATGCAAACAAATATTGTCTTTTTCCTTGAGAGAATACATCGAGATTAATAAGAATATCCAAGCACCAATCTGGCAATCTCTCTCTCTCTCTATCTCTATCTCTATCTCTCTCTATGACATTTACATACATGCCACAAAATTCTCATATATTTACATGTGTAAGACCTAAACATTTGAATTCACATGCATAGAACTCAAATCTTTAGCATCGCATTAGGGCCTTTTTGGGACGACTGTAGTCGTTTGAAGAAGAAACTATTGTTCAAGACATTGAAGCTTCTTGGCAGCAAACGCACTTAGGTTGTATTTGGGCGTCGGTGCGGTGGCGATGTTGTGTTGCACCACGATTTTTTTTATATAAACAGTGGCTTAATGTTGAGTTTTTTTTTTTTTTTTTTCCCTCTAGTTTTTTTCTGATGTACGGTGGTTGGAAAGCTGAGACATGAGTTATTCAAAAAAAAATAATAATTATTATGCGATAGCCACTGAAGCTTTTTGAACAACAACTTTTTTTGCAACCGCTTCATAGTTGTTTTTTCAAACAGTCACAACTGTCCCAAATAGCCCTGTGGGCCTGTTTGAGACAGTTTGTTTGGTGTGGTGCGTTCTGAAAACGTCGTATAAAGTGTTTGGTTATGGTAGCGCAGCAAATTTCCTTAAAATTTATGTTATACACGGGTCACCCTGTATGTAGTGGCCTTAAATGAATAATATTGGGTGGGGTTGTATCCTTACCTTTGATGTTTGAGTGAGAATTTGAGAGATAGCTAAAAGAGAGTGCTTGATTTAGCTTATCCGCAGTAGTTTCTATGCAGTAACTTCTTATGACAGCTGCTGCGTGACAACTTATTATTAAGTCATTGTTAAGGGTTTGTTTGGGGCAGCTGCAGCTTATTCAGCTTCTGCTGATAAGCAGCTTATCCTGATAATCTGTTGATGACCAGCTGATCCGATAAGCTGTCTGGCTGTTTGGTTGGCGCTTATGGAAAACAACTGATTGTGAAAAATTGACCCTTTTGCCCTTGTTTTGAATAAGTTGTTTAGCTGTTTGGTTAGTACGTTTTGTAAACAACTTATTTGTAAATTTTTTTAGTTGAATGAATAATCTGTTTAACAGAATGTTATTTTCTCAAATGTCAAGAAATGAAAATGCAAAAAGTTTCAATGCAAAAAACTTTAATACCGACTGTTCAACCCTTTCTCGCCCGTGGAACCAAAGATTGTCCATGTAATATCCAGTTTACAGTGGATTTCTTCAGCTAGGTTAGACCCCATGGTTTTTTCTCATTATGAGTTTTCTACGTACAAATTTTTGCTGTCACTACAGTTCTTTTCTTTTATCTATGTGTGCGTTGAATTTTAGTGCAACGTTAAGATGATAATCTATTACTCTGCCACCGCGATTTTTCTAGCAGCATCAAGGTACATAAGAGCGCGCATAAGAAGTTTGAAGCAAGGGCAAATCAACCCAGCGAATCCACATTTTCATATTTTATAAACACCCAAAGCATTAAGAACACTTCAATAAACTGTACCCATCGAAGATGATATCCACATTAATGAATTCGGAAACCAGAAAAACAGCTTCAAAAAAAAAATCAGAAGCTAAGCAGAAAACCTAGCAATGTGCAAG